CCCCTCCTTCCTACCGTAGTGGGACCTACCCGTTCGCACCAATTTCGTTCCGGCATTGCTTTTTTTAGATCGCCAGATAAAAAACCCACCCGCCCCTACGTAGACAGTGAAAGGTGAAATTGAGAGAAGACAATGAAAAAAAAAAAAAAAAAAAAGAAAAAGAAGCCACCTATCCAGGTCCCGATCCCGATCCCGATCTTGCGTGGACATCGTTAAGCAACACCTGCTACGTGGCGTTCTTATGCAATCCAAATTCCCGATCCTGATCACACACATGCATTTTATTTTATTTTTTTTTTCCACCCATAGCAATTATAAGAAGACACACGCATGTTTACAACCACCACAAAATAGGACATCGCCGCACCACTCACCGAACGTGCAAAAAAAACGGAGAACGTATCTTTCGCTAGAGCATGGAAAGATACAGTCGACATAGTTTTTGTCTTTTCACAATAATTTTGCTGAGCGCTGCAGCGCAACCCATGGGCCGAAAAATCTCGATCCAAATTTTGGTTCGCCATAGCTTCGCACCATCCTCGTTCTTTTATTCCCGCCACTCTTCTTCGCGCCATTCTTCGTTCCCGCCACTCTTCGTTCGCGCCATTCTTCGTTCCCGCCACTCTTCGTTCGCTTCGTTCCCGCCACTCTTCGTTCGCGCCATTCTTCGATCCCGCCACTCTTCGTTGGCGCCATTCTTGGTTCCCGCCACTCGTCGTTCGCGCCATTCTTGGTTCCCGCCAGACGAGAGATATCTAGATCGTACATCGTACACGAGACGATCCTTTTACCGTACATGTGTTGATGCCGAATCCAGTGGTAAGATCTGGATTATCGTTAATCTCTTGCGCTCATCAGTCATGGTGGTGATACCATATTCCATGGCATCATCATAATCATGATTGCCAATCATCATCACCGTCAATGGAGAATCAAACGACGTTATCACTAACTGCACCTATTTGTCTTTTTTATTAATTTCTTGTTTGCTCTTCTGCCAAATCCGACGGTACACGATCTGGACCATTGTTAATCTTGGGCTAATCACTCACGGCGATGACATGATGTCATCATCATCATAATCATCTTGTTATGATCATCGCCGTGAACGAGAATCGGAGGACTATGTTGTTCAGTGACTTCTGTCCACTTTCCTTTACTGTTTGGATAACGAATCCAATCACTTATCTAATTAACATTTAGCTAAATCGATGGCGATGAAAAAAAGAAAAAGAACGTTGATTATTAATGACTGGGCAAGGAAAGTGATCAGGAAGACGACGAGAAGCAATCAGCCAATCAGCCCATGATGAAATACGTATTGCCCGCGCGCCTCTTCTCCCCGAAACATTCCCCGCTCATCTCCACAGTCCGGCGCGGAGGAGGGGGGGGGGGAGTCGAAGAGGAATTTTCGCCCCCTTGCCGTTGCCTTTCCCGCCTTCACTTTGTCTTCATTCTAAATTTTGAAGACTTCCTTTTTTTTTTTTTTTTTTTGGCGCCATCAGATCAATTCCCGCGCTTCTCCATGGACAGGCAACGGGAAATGTTTCGTGGGCCGGTCGCCTTTTCGGCCTTCAATTTGTTTTTTCATTCTACATTCTGCAAACCTTTTTTTTTTCCTTTTTAGCAATGAGATGAGAAGGAATGTCATTGCGGGAAAAGAAAAAAAAAAGGAATGTCATTGCGGTTGACGGATGCGCTTCTTAATTACTTTACAAAAAGTACAAGTTGGCAATCACCCGCCACCATGGTCAATAGTTCCCTCCGATGTGCTGCCACGTGGCGGCATCTCAAAGGCCGTCAAGCTTGGCCGCCGAGTCAACAGTGAATAAATACAAAACGTCACAACCTTCTCCATTCCCCGATTTTACAAACAGCGGAAAAGCACACTGCCAATGCACACCCACCCACACCCACCCACACCCACCCACACACGAACACACACACAAACACACACACACACACACACACACACGCACAGTGCCA